TCTTTATAACTACATGCAAATTTTTGTGAATGAACAGTGGGTGCGTCATCTGCTTCCCACGACCATGTGTCCAAAGGGCACACCCGTAATTGTAACTTTTAAAATCTCTGTCCATGTACCTTTTGTATCCCCCTTAACCCTCAAGATCTTATTGTAATCCTGAGTTACCCTCCCCAGGTTTTTGCAAAATAATACAAGGGTTTGGGTCAGTCTTGTTGCAGGGTAGAGCAGGAGAAGTAAAGCCACTTCGGCTGCTTCTCAGCAAAAATTTGCAGGCACCAAAGAAGTTTACCTCCATAGAAAAGGAGGGTCTTGCTTTAGTGGGTTTTTCAGTGCAACACTTTGACGTGCACATATCTAAATCAGTTCACCCTAAATTTTGTATAGTGACCATAACCCTTATGTTTCCTTCATTTAATGAGGAACCACAATCAGAGACTTACGGGTGGGCCTTGTTTTCTTCCAACCTCTAATCTGGTTTATTCGTTTATGTGAAAGGAGCGGAGAATGTGGTTGCTGAGCCTTGTCTCGTGTTAAAGTGCACAATGTAGTGTATAGATCACTTATCAAATTTTTATTTTGCAGTGGTTTGCGGTAGACGAGTAGATGGAACTCTGGCCACCCAAAGGAGAAGGGCAGGTTGAGCTGGAGCTGGAGGTATCAGGATTCCCTAGTGTGTGTGTATTTAGGGGGGTAGACACATCAAAGACCATGCCTAGGTAAGGTAAAGCACGTTTTTTAGGTGTTGCTGGGAAAGCCTCGCCTCTGTTTTATGTTGGTATAGGGACTTTTTGGACCTAATGTTTTAGTGAAAGTGGGGGTGGCGGTGATGCCCTCCACTGTTTGGGTCATGTCTTTTGATCCGAGGTGTTTTGGTTCTCCAGGACTCTTTTTCAATTTTTTCCTTTTTGGATCACCACTGGGGTGACTCCAGGGTCCTTGGGAAAACATGTAGGTTGCGGCCTGGGAGGTCCACCTTTTTGGGGTCTTCATGATGACTCCAGGGTTTTACGGCCCAGTCCCACCAACAAGATTTATGTGCCTATCCACCCGTTGTTTTTAGGGGCCTGAGATTTTCCCCTCTCCTGTGCTCTCCTGATTCCCCCGCAGAGGTGGGGTCATGGGGAACCAGTTTTGTTTACTAAAGATTGCTGTGAGATGGGAGTGATAATGTGATGTTGTTTCTCCGTAGAATTTAACATGTAACATATGTTTTTTCTTTTCTTGAACTCCTGGAAAATGTACTACTGTTTAAAAGTTTTTTTTGGTGGCACCTACAGTTTGGTCTGCCTTGCAACATACTGAACTTTTGGGGTTACTTCATTAAACGGCATTCCTCCAGGGGCACTTTTGTACAAAATTTACTTGCTTGTTTATAAGTTTGCTTGATGTAATTTAGGGTAAAAAAAATGCATCAACGCCAGCGCCTGGCCAGCGCTGTGTTGTAATGGTGCCTTTCCTAAAACAGCTGTCTAAAGTGTGACTGTGAGCTCGTTGGACATGGAACTTGATCACTTTATTTTCGACGAGTTTCATATGTCTGCACCTAGACCTCAGTTTGTAAATATTGGGATATTTGTAGTACCAAAAACCGTGATTGTATGGTGGTCATTCCCCAGTTATCATTTTGCCAGTTTGCCTCACCTTAATGTGGGGCTTATTTTCTTTTTTTTCTTTTTGCCTAGCGGTGTCCGTTGGGGCCCCGCTACAGAGTGAGACCTATGGTCCCGGGGGGGGGGGTGTTATCAGGGTCTCCATGACATCATATGTACATAATTTGTGGGGAAGTGTGCCAAAATAATAAGAATATTGTATTGTAAGGAAAAAATTTATAATTCATAAGTGCTTTTGAGGTACTGTAAAGTACTCTAACTATAATTAAAAAAGAATGGAGTTAGTGATTTATTTTCCAAGGATGTTTGGGTACGCAGAGTAAGCGTGGGGAGGGGGTCACGTGACGTTAGGATGGGCGGTAGAAGCTGGGGTCGGAGATGCTGTAATATTTTAAGTTAAGTTTGCAATAATACACTCATTTTGTTTAAAACCAATTCAAGCCATAGGCTTTCATATGGCTTACCTGTAGTTAACCCAGGGACTGACATGGTCAGGGTGCTGTGGGATGAGTGATGAAGTAAGAAATGAGGTTTTTTGGTGCCATGACGGGCCCGACGCTGACGAAGCCTAGTGTTATGGTGGCTGAACCTCCAGCCAGCTGTGTGTACCTTCATTTGGGCGTGTAGAATTAAGGTTTTTATGTTATGGTGATTAAATAGATATATTTTCCTAATTGGGATTTTTGCCTAACCCTCTGTTAACCAACCCCTTGAAGTAACACATACTGGTTTAGCGCTTTCTGTTTTTAACTGGGATAGCCCGGGGTGGCCGGTTTGGGCTTGAGATGTGTGTAACTTTTACCTTTGCCCTTAGACCAGGCTCAAGCCCCCAGCTATCCCACATTTTTGCGTAACACTGTCAATCAACGAGAAAAACTGATGGAGACGGACTAACGTCCTGCAGACGTCCCATTTTGGATTTAATTACCTGTGCACGTGTATGAAATTGCAGGACGTAACCCCACATCATTGCAGGGGTAAAGAACCTACTTTCCTGTCATCGGGATAGAATACTCACGGCGATACTCTGTGAAGAACTAGCCGGTGGTGGTCACCAACACATGCGACCCCCCCCCCCCCACATCAGCAACGGCTAAGATTTCAACAACACCAAGTGTCACCAACACCAGACACCCCAATATATATATTAGCGTTGAGTTCAAATGTTATTTTATTCATTTCATTTTTCATTTTTCTTTCAAATAGGATATACCTGTCATGTTTTATTGTTTTATGTTTGCTTTAATAAATAATAAAGTGTTTATCTTTGTTAATTATTATTTCGTTTTCTATTCATTAATTTTCCTGAGGAGGAGCCAGCTTTGGTAATACTGTCTGAAGTTATTACAGAGCTGAGTAAGCCTTCACATCGCAGATACCTGAAACACAACTCACTACTTTCTGATGGCCAGTTTGGCTTCAGAATTGACAGATTCTCACAGGATGCCGTTAACATCATTCTCAACTACATCCACATAAACACAAAACAAAGAAACAGGACAGCCCTCGTTGCAAAAGACGTTGAAAAAGCTTTTGGCACTGTCTGGCGTGAAGGGCTCAAACACAAACTCTGCACTAACTTTAACCTGCCCCACACTACTCGTAAACTCCTCTGCAACTTCCTAGACGGCCGCACCATGAGAATCATATTCCAAGGCTTTTGCTCAGACTACTTCACCCCAAGTGCTGGAGTACCCCAGGGATCTGTCCTCTCTCCTACCCTCTATATTTTATGCACTAACAACATTCCTTACACCTGTAAACCACAACTCCATCACACTAGCTTATGCAGACGACATTACACAACTTACGCTAACGCCAATGTAGATACACTCATACACAAAACGCAAAATGAGGTCGACAGGATAGCCATCTGGGAACAAAAATGGAGGGTCAAATCCAAAGCAGCTAAATCCATCATTACATATTTTAACTATAGGAAACGTGATCCTCCATTACCTGTCGAGCTCAGAACAGCTGACACCAGCACATACATCCCCATCACACAATCTGTCACTGTCCTTGGAGTTAATCTTGACTACCTTCCTCGCTTACACGGACACAATCACTCAAGGCATAAAATAGCTTCTAAGGCCCCTGCGGGCCTCTACAAGCTACATCATGCCTGCCAACGCACCAAACTACACCTCTATAAATCTCTAATACGTCCTCTGATAACTTACTCTCTCTATCCCTCTCTCTTGGAGAGAGGGCTAGAGAGAGTAAGTTATCAGTGGGTCAGAGAACGAACAGCTTGCGTTGTTCGTTCTCTGACCCACGTTCGCCTTTGCTGCTTGGTTAAGCCCTGGCTCAATTTCTACACTCCTGTATAGCGCTAATCTTAGCCTGTCCCGTCTTCGCCGCTCACCCTACACACAGAAGAGCCTGCTATTCCTGCTCTCAATATCTGTCTCACGATCGCCTTAGCTACTGGGTTAAGCCCTGGCTCAATTTCTGCAACTAAGAAAACTTCTCTCCAGCGCTATTCTTCGTCTGTCCCGTCTTCCCTGTTCATCCCATTGGGATCTTACCTGCACTTGTTCGTTCGTTCGTTCGCCTCTGCTCCAGAACATCCACGACTACGGTGCTCTTTGCACCAACTCCAAGACTGAGGGACTGGTTACCTCATCTTCTGTATATAGTTCTACTGTCTTCAAATTATATCCTGGGATTTGTATTGATAAAGCCACTGCTTGGCGAAACGTCTACAGTAAAGATACCCAGATGTTGCACATGTGCTGTCATTTAGTGGGATGCTGAACACCGACTCTTACCGTTCTTTTAGAAATTCGCTCATTTCCTGTTAATCGTCAGTATACGAATCTCCTCTCATTAAGCGTCCAGTTCTACAGGTATTTCTTAACTTGGATTTTGCATGTGAATGGAAATATTTGGGGCTGCTTATAGTATACTGGATGACCTTTCGTTCCCTCCGTGCTTCATAAATAATAATAATAATAATAATAATAATAATAATTATTATTTTTTATTATTATTATTATTATTATTATTATTATTATTATTATTATTATTATTATTATTATTATTATTATTATTAAATATCAAATTATTTCCAGAAATAAAGTTGAATTTACTTTTCATTTTCTTTGTTCCATGTTGCTTTAATATATGCAATAAAATCTGCAAAATTTCCAGTTATCTGAGAAGGTTGTCATAATATATCGCTGAAGACAACTGGTAAGTCGTCTTATTGAACACAATATATAGTGTATCATTATATTGTGGCTGGAAAAGCTTCTCTTCCAAACAAGTGAGAACGAAACTTTATTTAGTGGTCAGAAAGCGTAAAATAATATATAAGGAAATATATTCGACAACTGTTATACATATTATATCGCTAACAGTGTATATTAAATGATAATTTACCTTAAAGTCTAAGGCAGGTTTAGGCATGGAACAATACCACCACTGGTCGTCCCGCTGACGAAAACATGTCCTCAACACCTCAACTTTGCTGAAAAACAAAAATATATTGTTAATTTCTTTTTTACATTTTCCACTGATGTTTTACTATTATTTATTCTAGTTCAGTATTACACCATATTATATTTCACTAATTAAAGCATCTAAATTTATATATTTTAATATGTTTCACAAGTTTTTTTTTTTTTTGTACAAATGAAACCAATTAGAGTGAAAGGAAAACAAATGTTCAAATTCGCATATAAAGTATTCTCTAATTAAATCAAACTTTTTCTTCACAAATTTTACTCTTTCATTAACACACAGAATAATAATTAACAAAAACAGTGTAACGAAAGTCCAGGATTTACATAGGTTATAAGATGACAAACATTGTTAGTTTATAATGTCAGTTTTATGTGAGGATGAAGATTGTGGGAGGTTTTACATCTGAACAAAATGAATAATCGTAACACAAATGTATTGTGGAGTATATGTTGGTAAATTATAAAAAGAGCTGAATAGAGAAAAAATAATGGAACCTTAATGATTGTTGTTGTCATGGATACTCGTCTTGTGTGATGAGTGTTTTGAGTAAGTGATGAATGTTTTCAAAACTTTACCAGAGACAAGTTGGATGCTCATTGTGGAACTTTTTTAAATGGCTGTCACTCTCATTGTAAACAACTGAAGAATGGACTCTCTTTCTACATTTAAATAATGTAATTTGACCCTGTCTCATAGCTTGTATTTACATAAGTGTATATAAGGGAGTCTTAAATTTAAGTGTTAATATTTAATATAATTAAGAAAATTGCATATTCAATGTACTCTACTTAATATTTAAATTCTGATGTAATTCAAGACGGCATCCTCTCAACAGAGAACATTCAAGATGGAGGCTCATCATCGAGATTGGATACGGAACACTGGTGTGGAAAGGAGATCGTAGGACAGAGAGTGTGTTGTGTTCGCTTGGAATATATATCTGTGTTAGTTTACGCACAGATTGGCGACGTTTCTAGTGGTCCTTGGACTGTGTTTAGTGCTTCAAGGCAATGAGCCACGTGAAGGTGGCTACGGGCCCCGACTGGGGCACTGAGCCTCAAAGCTCTGCACCCAGTGCGGGTGGTTGTGAGATCACAGGCAGCAGCTCCACTGCTGGCTCTGTCCCCACACCTACAGTCATCATGACAGACCCAGGAGAGCGGCCTAAACGTTCATTGGAATGCGGGGACGAGTTGGAGGACGACATGGGGCAGGTGGGAGCCCCCACCAAGAAGGCCAAGGATGCAGTGGAGACTACTGTATCTGCCAATCTGCCACTAGATCCGTCGGCAGCCGCTTCCCAAGAAGACTTGCACCCCCAGATGACCATAGGGGTTGTGGAAGGAAGCCAGGAGGCTGTAGCTCCTCAACTGGCAAGGATAGAGCCATCCCAGGTCCCTATCCCAGCTCGGGAACAAGCAACCAGGGCCTTCAACAAATTCAAGGTTCCCGATTACGGGTTTGTAAGGTACCTGGAAAGTCTACCCGGCCTCAAGTTCTGCTGCGAGTTCACTCTCAGGAACGAGGTTCTGATCATTCCTCGGGACGAGGATTCTTACAAGGAATTGAATGGGCTGGTTGTGACGCAACCCAGCATGGTGGAATTGGTTGCTTCGGAGAAGGTGTACAAGAGGGTGCTCTTACACGTCCTTATGCCACTCCCACTGGACCCCATTTTGGAAGAGCCCAATATTGCTACGGTGAACAAGGTGCCCACCCGCCAAGTGCTGTTCCACCACAAAGGTCCACTTCCCACGCACCTGGACCTTGGGATCTGGGGAAGATTCAAGACCCGACCATACCTGTCGGGCCCAGTACAATGCATCAGTTGTCAGGGGTTCAATCATATTGCAGCCACCTGCCAGCGAGAGAAGAAGTGTGGTGTGTGCAGCAAGGCACATGACTCGAAGGACTGCATTGCAATCCTCCAACAGCCATACGGCAAAGCCCTTCGGCTGGAGCACAAGTGTGCCAACTGCTCAAAGAGGCACCATGCCTGGAACCGAAGCTGTCCTATGATGGTGCAGCACTGGCAGCAGGTTTGTCATCGGAACGACCCGACAGCCCCGACGCCACCCAGCCTTGGAACCACCCAGCAGCAGTCGGTATGGGCTCCAACCGCGGTTCCCCAGATACCGCAGGAGAGCAATACCAGCGAGTTCACGGCACTGGGCACCCAGCAGTGGCATCAAAGGGCACGCACTGGCTTGCAGCAGCACGGTCAACTACGGAGTCAGATGGCAAGGTGGCCAAGAAGACAAAATCAATGGGAAAAACAGCCACAGGCCAGGCACACTGCGCAGCAGGTCCCAGCTAGGCACCAACATTCCTTGTCATCCCGCAAGCAGGCCTCTTCCCATGGGCAGGCCCCTACTCTGAACGGCCAGAGTCAGGCAGAGGCTCCCCACCAGGGGACCCAGAAGCCCATGGCTACTCAGGCCGGGCCCAGGGTCCACCCAGCTTATGCTGCTGCAGTGTCAACAGCCACCCAGACATACCCAGTGACCCAGTCCCAACTCAACGGGTCGTCCAGCTCAATGCCTGCAGAAATAATGGTCGGATCATTTCCCGATCGACTGAAGAAAACCATCGGGGTCATCTCAGCACTCCTCTGTCGCCTGCTGCCGTCGGGGGAGGACAGGCACGCCTGCAGACAGCTCCTGTCATGGATGCTGGGCGTGGTCCTTCTGGACAGGAAGGACTCAATGGAACTTCAAGCCATCATCCAGGAGTCCTTTCAGTCCGTGATGGAGGAGGCCCCGGAGTCGCCAACAACAGACGACGAATCCCAGGCAGAGATGGAATCAGAGGGCCACCCCTGCGGCCCTTGAAGATCCTCCAGTGGAACATTTGCGGCTGCAGCGGAAAATTCACTTAGTGATTGAAGCTGCAGTTCAGGATGAGGTTGATGTCTTCCTGTTACAGGAAACACTTACCAATTCGTCACATCAAATGCAGCCACGTATCCCGGGATTCTCGGCCTACCTTCAGCGCCTGGAAGGGACTGGCAGGGGCACGGTGATCTACGTCAGGACCACTATCCTCATTCAACTCTCCACTGACCCCATCACCTGTGGGAAGGGCGTAGAGATTCAGGCTGTCACCCTACACCTACCAGTTGGGCCTCTCGTGGTTTACAATATTTACAGAAGCTCACAGTACACCCTTGACATTCAAAGGTGGCAGTACTCGCCCCCCGGGAGGGTCTTGTTGTGGCTGGGGATGTCAATGCCCACTACCCAATACTTCTATCTCTCCAACCAACGCAGCTGGAAGGCACCTGCGGCTGTGCTGGAGGAGGTCCCTGAGATTGCCCTCCTCAAAATGGTGAGCCAACCAATCACTAAGGTGGCCGCTTGGACGTCACACTCATCTCTAGGCGGTTTCTCTCGAGTGCAACATGGGAGGTCCACCCCCGTCTCACCAGTGATCACTTTGCAGTGGTTATCACGCTGATGGTCCAGCAGTGCCCGCTCCCCACACCTACCCCCAGATGGAATCTAAAAAAGGCCGACTGGCAGTGCTTCCAGGAGGTCATTGAGCGTTGGTGGGCAGAGTCTCCTCTTCCAGAAGACCCAGATGAGGCGGCTCAAAGCTTGCAGGTGGCCTTCACATGTGCAGCTGAGGCAGCCATACCTAAGATTACAGGTGGAGGGTCATATAAACGTGACTGGTGGTTTTACAATGAGGACATCAGGGAGCGGAACCACCACATCTACGTTGTACGCAAGATGCACAGGTATAATCCCACGGATGAGTCCATGCGTCTGCTCACGGAAGTGGTGTGGCATGCACGACATGTCTCGCACAGGCTAAGGACGTCACGGATGAAGACTTCACTGACCTGGAGCTCCAGGCAGCCTTCACATCTCATCGGAACACTGCACCGGGGCATGATGGTACCACCTATGGCATGATCACTCGGTCTGGCCATTCTGGACATTCAGCTGTCCCAGGGGTCGTCAACCGGACATGTCGAGCTGGCAAACTCTCTGTCGTATGGAAGGAGGCTGACATCATACCGATTCCTAAACCTGGGGATCCTGGCAGTGTGAGACCCATCTCCCTTACCAGCTGCATCTCGAAGGTGTCTGAAAGGATGGTGTTGGAGCGCCTGAGGTGGAAGCTTGGCCCTCCTCATAAACACCTCTATGGCTTCACCAGAGAAGTGGGCACTTTCGAAAGTCTTACCATTCTACTGGCCGGCATTGGGCCATACGCCCAAGGCCACATTGTTGTCTTTCTTGACCTCGAGAAAGCTTTTGAGCTAGCCAGTGCACCTGCCATCTTCTCACTCTTTGCCCGCAGGGGGGTTAAAGGCAGGCTGCTTTCATGGCTTCGTTCCTATCTCCAGGACAGGCGGGCCCGGGTACGCTTCCAGGGGCATGCCTCTTCTCTCAAGACCCTGGACAATGGCATTCCACAGGGCGGGGTGCTTAGTCCCACCCTGTTCAATGTACTGATGCACTAGCTGGTGCGCCTGCCTTTCTCCAGAGGCACCTTTCTCCTCAGCTATGCCGATGACCTGGCACTTGTCGTACCTAGGAAGTGCCGGCTTTTGCAGCATGCCCAGGAGGACCTCTATCTGCTGGCTTCCACTTGCTGTCACTTGGGGCTCAAGATATCTGCGGCAAAATCCAAAGCCGTGATCCTTTGCACCAGGATACCCAGTCAAGGGCTACAGGTCTGGGGCATCGACCTGGAGTGGGTTCACAGTTATAGTTATCTTGGCATCTACATTGACAGGCGCCTCACCTTCCAGAAACATGTGCACCACATTAAAGAGAGGGCTCTGCAGAGGGTCAGAGCATTGGGTGCTATGGCCAACCCTAGGGTTGGGGACAGCCTCGAGGTCATGAGGTTGTTCTACATCCAGGCAATACTCTCCCTCGTTGACTATGGGGCACTTGCTCTGGTTCACGCCTGACCCACAAATATCAAATCCCTCTGTGTGATCCAGAACACAGCTGTACGGGCCATGCTGAGGGCTCCTAGGTGGGCCAA